AATGCTTGTGCGAATTTCTTTGGGGTTCACAAGAAGGGGGTGTGTGTGTGTGTGTGAATCCGAATACTTACGGCTTCGGACGTGGCAAAGATACGACGCTCCACTTTGGTCTGACCGCGATTGTCGCATCCGACGACTGTTTGGCTCCACGCTCGCAACTGTGTTTATTGTTCCTGTCCTAAGCCAAGCCCGTGATGTTCGCGAACGCGATCGGNCGGTTTAGATGTGAACATAGCTTTTACCTGTGTATCGTGAACTGTCCGGCTTACTGCGCCTGAGAGTTTTTCTTCGATGACCTCTTCCTTCGTATCTACCTTTTTTTCTTGTGTTATGAAACAAGTCCAAATGTGTAAATACCTGATAAATCTACACGAGGGATTCACTCTTCAGTTCTTTTTCGTCTTTACCATAATCTCATATTGGTAGATATTAACAGATAGTTTGAGACCATCTCATCTACTGTCCAGCTCTCACATCTGTCTTTGATCAAGTATCTACAATTCAACCAGTTTTGATTGAACAAACAATCCTACATTCGTGAAAGCTTATGAGAACCGGTCTTGGTAGTCCAATCGGTTGACGTGGTTGATCATCAACCCTTCTTAACCAAGTTCAAATCGAATTTGGGAAAACGCTTCCGAAAAAGCTAGATCAATCTTCCGTATTTTACCTAAAAGTTTTCCTACTGGTAACCGATGCTTTGATTTGGCCTAAGGATTCCAAATTTCTTTGTTTCGGCTTAACAGATCTCTCTCTAACACCCACCAGAGGAGATGCTATGTTGGTCAAGATAGTTACTAAACATCCTAATATTTTTTCTAACTGGAAGTGCCAATCTCCACTAGTTGACCACTATCTCCTATGTCTCAGACCAATAGCTTGCTCTCGGTTGGTATAGCCCGCTTTTATTTTGATAGAACAAATGAACATAAAAATTCGGAATCTTTCAGCCGACAGACTCCTCTTAAGAAAATCTCTTGCCACCATCTCCTTATGGGTTTCCGTTGAATAACCTCTCCTGTTGAATAGTTAACCAAAAGAGCTAATGTGGTTTTTAATTTTTTGTTCACTGGTAGGGTATGCTCTCCGCTGCTAAAAGCTCTTAAAATACAAAAAGAGCAAGCATTCAAGATGCACCAAAAACCATTGTCAAACAGCTTGCACTGCGAATCAGGAAAGAGATCACAAGACTGAATGCGCGATTCACGAATCAAGTTTCAAGAACTGGAGATGGAAGACAACTGTGTCAGATTGCTGTGTGGACAGAAGAAACCGTCAACAAAAAACATCGACGTGGACAGCCTTACTGCTACATTCATTTATCCTTCAAAAGAATCTGTCTCCGTGCCCCACAGATTATCTATCTACCGTAGACCGTGTCACTCCTAAGGAGGTCTATCATCTAAAAGCTACAAAACTCCCGAATGCAGTTAGTCCCGATGGTCTATCTCCTATGCTCAAATATGGCGCTGTTCCACTCACGGAAATGTTCGTGTCCCTTATTTATTAATAAATCCTTTTACACATGTCCGACCCCTGATTCCTGAAGACGGTTCACTTAAATCATCCAGCGTTTGATCTCAACGCCGTCCCATCGCCATCACTTCACCTGGACTTAAATTATTGTAGTGTTCTTTTCTCACCCGCTTACAGCCTGATATTTAATGTTCCTCCTTCAGTTTGCGTCTAGGCGAAATAGAAGTACTTTGGATGCTGTCTCTTTACTCTGATATACTTTTTCGAATTATTCGTTGTGTTTTCTCTGATATTTCTTCCGCTTTTGATTCCGTTCCACATTCTCTTCTTTAAAAGTTGCAGTCATTCATTTGCTCCACCACCCTTTTTCGTGGTTGATAAACTATTTCACAGGAAGGATTCAAAAAACGAAAGCCAACGGCACTATTTAAAAACCGTTAGTGAATACTTTCTGAGTCTTTCCGGTTTTGTTTTCTCCTTACTTATTTTCAACATTCAACAGTGGCTAACCCTTTATCCTCTCAGCCAAGACATTTAAATTTACTGATGATGTGGTACAATGTCAAGCTGTCTGAAACCAATCCGATATTGAATGATTTTCCAACAGTTTGGCGAAAGTGCAATTACTTTCAAACTTATCCAGTCTCCATTTGAATGCTTCTAAATGTTTTGAATGTTTTTAGTCTTTCCAAATCTG